TGCAGTCATGGTGGGCGGGGGCAGGGTGGGCGGTGCTGGGGGTGGTTATGGTGTGGGCTATAACCGCCCCAAAATTCGCTGTAGCCACCCTGTAGTCCTCCCCTCCCCGCCCAGCCCAGCCGCCCACTCTGTCCCTGGCTACCCTGTAGTCCCCACTCCCGGGGCTGCTGCCACCTGCCCCAAGCACAGCCCTGGACCAGCCTCCCTTGCAAAAAAGAGCTTGGCACAGTCCCAAGCCCGTAGCCCACCCCACACACAAATCCAGGGGGCACATGCCCCCTTTGCTTCCCCAAGGTGTGCTCCCCTTCCCACCCCCTGACAAGCTGCCCACGACTCTGTCCGCCGCCCCGTTTAGGTAGTGCCTGCCCCAGCCCTACTCCCTCCCTTACCATGGAGGCCTTGATCTGCCCCCCCACAGACGCTGCTCTCCAAGCTACTGGGCTGCACTCTCGGCCATGTGCATGCTGTGGCTGTGCGTGTGCATGCAGCATTTATCTGAGACATTATCAGCCACATTGGCCAAAAAACCCTGATGACCAATAACGTCAATTTTCCTTTTATTGGTGCCAGTATGATATAGACTGATGTATCAGTGCATCTCTAGAAAAAACAGGTTTTAAAGGAAAAAGCAGGTTTTAAAGCAGACTTGGGGAGATTTTTAAAAACAAGTTGCGGTGATATCTGAAGCACTGACTGAGAAGTCATTATGCCCAATAGGGAATAGGTGGCTGGCAAGAATTAATATTTAAAGCTCTGTTCTTTTGACTGACTAAACTGTGCCAGAGCTTGCTGCACTTTCCTGAATCCCATCAGCATGGGTCTGCCTCACCTTCTAATAGCTCCCTGGGGGACAGATTTCATTCAAATGAGGCATACACGTTCCAAGAATTATTCCTAATTCTTCAAGGCCCAGTGTTCTTTTCATAAGCTGTGGAAGATGGCATTTTTTTTTATATAGGCAGAGGTAATCCTGGTCTGAGCTGGATTAAGAGGCACACAAGCTCAGATTTACAGCTGGTACAGTGCTCCCAACTGGGCTTACCATTCTAAAAAGATTTTTTGGATATACCTAGTTCCTGTTTTTGATTTGATAGGGTGGCATTGTTACAGGGCCTTGCGAACACTTTAGTTGTCTCATTCTGCAAGGGGTCAGAAACAAAAGGGGTCAGACTCGATGATCTAATAGGCCCCTTCTGACCCTAGAAATCTGTGAAATCTAAAAGGTTTGTATTGTCACTCAACTCACCCTTTCAGCTGATTTTTTTCTGTTGCTAGTGAATGTTTCTTCACATTTATTGTTGGCATTTTACTTTTTCTTCTACAACAAATGTATTAGTCTTGTTCTTCCCCCCCCGGCCCTTCAGGATCTGAAAATCCTCCTGATTCTAGCACAGTGGATAATTCCTTCAGTGAACAAGAACCAATTCAACATGAGAAGAGTCCTTTGTCGGAGTCTATAGACGTGAAGCCTTCGGAAATGTCTTTACCACTTCCTCTCTCCATTGGGACAGAAGACCATCAGATGCTGCTTCCTGTAACTGGTAATCAGTCTCCTTCCTCAGAAACATTACTGAGATCTACTGTGACTGGATATTCAGAACCTCAGTTTATTTTCTTACAGCAGCTGTACTAACTCTGTGCAATATGGAACTAACAAGGCAATCTAGTTGTGAACGTTATTCAGGTCATTAGTAAGATGAACGTAGCAACAGCCTGAACAATGCTTTTGAGTTGGATTTACTTTTTTTCCTTCCATTTTTCTGAGTGAAGACACTTGGTAATGCAACTACATAGTACAGTGCTGGTTTTTATTTCTCGTTAAGTTTTGCTAATCTAGAATCATCAGGTTTGTCACTGATAGTTGACACTGATGGTTTTTAGGAGGTAAGTCCTGTTCAGTAACACCTGCCTTAAGAATTCTATTAAAAAAGTAAACATATCCTGGCTTTGTGCTGATTGTGTCACAATGTCATTTGTGAGCAGACATTTAAGCCATATAGTTGTTGCTGTTAGCTTATTTTAATGAACTTAGCTCAGAGGTGTGGTCCTAATGGATTGCCTTGTCCAAAAAAAAAAAACAACTTTATCAGCACACTTAATTTCCCACATTCCCACAACCAGGGTAAGAGGGGAACATGAGAGAGCTGAAGATGTTCACAAAACTCTCATGGAGAACACATCTCCCAGAAGCAGCTCTTTGTGTGCACTTCCAGGTTCAGGCTAGAACAAAAGCTTTGTGCAAGTCTTTTGACAAGGCAAGCAAGGGAGATTTGCTTTTGAGGATGGAGTCAGAGGCCAGACAGCATGATACCTTTGAGCCAGTCCTTTCCAAGGCTTGGATTCACTTTCAGAAATGAGTTGATTGTCTTAGCTGTTGTCTCTCCATATCCCCGAAACACCTCAGGGTTTGACACAGAGGTCAGAAGCTAGAAATGGAAGTGTAGTAAACCAGGTAAAAAAGCTGTGTTGACTTTATTGTGTGAAGGGAGGAACTCATCCTTGTCTCCATGTACATCATCATGATAGTATCAGGGCCTGGTAGCGTTAGGCATTGTACAGACCCAAGAGAGCAGACAGTGTCCGCCCTAAAAGAGTTTAAAATAATGAACAATGAATTCAACCCCACAAGTATAAAAGTAAAAGATGAGTAACTGGAAGCCCTAAGTTCTGGGGTTACACAGAACAGGTTCTTACTATCCCAGGCCAGAATTCGGTAGAGCACAATGGAAAATAATAATTAAAAATAAATATATAGTCTAAGCATTGAAGACTCATCCAATGAAGAGCTATGGAACTGGAAGTGTGTTTTCTTCCATCATAGATTGTACCAGTGATATTTTTATTTATTTACTCCTACAATTTTGTTCTCATTCATGCCTTGTGTCCAGGCCTCAAACAAAAGGTAGAAGTTGCCTTCTAATACAATCCCCTCCCTTGTGAAGCAGAGGTCTTATGAAAACCTTGTGCGGAAAAAAATTCTCATAGAGGATAGCTTTTAATTACTCCACAAAAGGACCCCTGAATCCTAGGCAAGGCTTTGTCTTTTGTCATTTTCTCAGCCTATTCTTTGTGTCCTCCTCCATACATTTTTTTCTGTATCTTCTCAGCAAAACAGTCCTTTTATCCATGTGCTGATCATCTTATGTGTGCAGCTTGTAATACTAGTATTGCTCATGTTTTATAAAACATAGCAAAGTTTGCTATCTGTTACTGTTGTGGACAGTATGAAGCACAATCAAGTCCCTGACAAATCTTTTTGCTGCAACCATCTGCATCTCTAAAAGTAGATTCCTGCTATTCACTGCATTGGCCATCCACCTTTCCCTGTCAGCTGCATCCTTCATCACTAGATTGTTTCTTTCATGACGCTGGATTTTCAGTACTGCGAGAGGGTGGGGCTTTCCCCTCCCCCGCTTTTTTAACATCTGTTTCTAATTCCTTTGTAATCCTTCTAGGATTGTGGCCAACTGGTATTTGTGTGACTGAAGACTCACAAAAAAGCTCAGCCTTGAATACAAGTGACAAAGGCTCACTCTGTCTAACTGGACCTAGGCTTGCTCCTTGCATTTCCTGACTAAAAAATATAGCAAAAGTATCAAGACAGGTACTGTTAAATAATTAGTATCACACAAAAGAAAAGCCATCTCACTTTGCCATCTTCTGTGACTAAGCTGATATTTGGTCAGCTTAATACTTAAAATAGTATTAAACATGATGCACAGCTCCTGCAGTGTGCTGCTGATATATTAAAAAGTAATCTTGAAGAAGTTGAAGTTTAACAGTCATGGATTTAATGACCCCAAGAACAAAGTCAATGAGCAGATTTGGGGGACAAAACAAAAAGACCACATTCCTATGTAGAAGATGCATTCCATAAGAATGTTTGTTTGAACTGTTTTTATACTTCTACAATTTTAGATTACTACTACTGTATTCTTACATTTCAGAATTTTTAAAAACAAATCAGTGCTTAGATTTATACAGGATCCAGTTTAGATATTTATACAGGTGACATTTGCTTTGTATTACTCATTTAGTTTCTTGATAGACAGGAAGATGCTGATTATTTTTTTTACAAGAGAGCAATTTTAACCTTTCTTCATAGGATATACAGGCTCTAAGTTTCTCTTGCAGCAATAATTAGATGATCTGCACTCGAGTCCCCATCTATGAATCTTGATTTTTATCCTCAGCTTCCATTAAAGTAACTCAGCAGCTGAGAGATGATTTCTTTAAAAATATTAATTTAGTAAAATTTGGATTTTTTAAAAATAAATAATCAGTAGGCATGTTCTAGCTGAGTGCAGTCAAACTGAAAGAAGAACTCTTTACTCCATCCCTGTCAAAGTGCATGCATGTGCTTCCCATGCATCTTTTATCTGCACCCTTACAGCTCCCAAATTTAGTTTGGAGTTGGAAGCTGTATCAAAAATCTTGAGGGTTTGTGTAAGAAGTGATAAGGAAAAGCATAGACACCTTTAATAGCCTAATGCAGTTAGTCATTAGCCAAACCCTTTTTTGTGAGACTACCTGAAAAATGAAAGATGGAACATAGAAAATTCCTTTAAGAACTTGGAAAAGAGCCTTAGGGAACATTTCCAGGGTGATCTGTTTCAGTGAGGACATCTTTTTAGTATTGAATGATGCAAGTTTTGCTGGCAAGGGCTTGAAAATTTACTCAAATAGCTATTTCAGAATAAACTCCCTGCATGGATTCTCATTTGGAAGAAAGTGTGTCCATCTGGGGTCTCCCACCAAAATAATTATTCCGAAGGAGCTGTGTCAGTAAATGTAAGCAAGCACCAAGTAAGGACCCCAAGACTAGGCTTTAGGAGAAGCTGTTGGTAACACTTACAGAAGTAAGCTTAGATAAGGACTAGTAATTGATTCTGGTTAAGTTATTTCTGGAGCATTTTCCTGTATATACAAAGTGTTACGTGTACATAGTTCACCTTTTGTTTTTATAATCCCTGTGGGGTTTTTGTATATATTTAGCCTGCAGCATTTTATGTTAGTTTTTAATAAACTGTTTTGTAACTTTCCCTCACCTTGTGTCTGCTGTTTCTGGAGGAGGAGAAATGTAACCACCAGAAAACAAACACTGCTGTATAATGTTAGATGTGTCACAAACAGTCTTCAGCGCAGCATACGAAAACACGGCAGGAATTACTTGGAATAAGCATTATTCATTATATTATCATCTGACTACCAAATTCCCTTGGTACAAGATAGCATTTTGGGGCTGCAGAAACAGTTTAAACACTGTTTAACAGACCTACTCTTAAGAGCAATAAAAATAATTTTAAAATGGACACTTTAAGTATGGAGCTAAACTTTTCAAAGAGGATATAAAAGACTTTTCAGTGAATTTCTTTTACAGAGTTTATCTTGTGATATAAACACACACCACCACAAACATACCATCACCAACAGCTTTGTTAGTACAAGCCTAGTAGTTACTGGCGAGAGACTCGGGAGACCAGCATTGTCCTGACACTGTTCATAATTTCACAGCAAACAAGAAAAGCCTAGCATATTTATAAACTTGTCCTGACCCCATTTTCTTCACTTAAAAAGACAAACTCAGGCATGCCTCCTGGCTTCTGCAGCTCTCAGCCAGTATGGGAACATCTGAAGCAACTAAACCAGCTCAATTCTATTGAGTCTTTTTCATCTTTCTTATACTAGGCTGCCCTTTATCTGTAGGGCCTTCTTTCCAGCTTGTCTTTAGTTTAGCAGCACATCGGCTTTTTGGCAACTGACTAATTTATAGGGGAAGTGAACAACTGAGAGTCTAAGTTGAATTGCTTCCAAGAGCAATACAGCACTGACTAAAGTAAGAAAAGCCTTGTACAGCCTTGGACGTTTCTGCCTGACGTAGTCTGATCCCTGTACAATTCTATATCTGTAGGATAGTAATGCTGTGACAATGAGTTTAAGACAAAAAATAATACTTGCATAGCAGCTTTCTAGGTGTCCCTGATGTTATCCGTCAGTCTCTTTGCCTCATCTTGAAAGCCTGATTTTTCTTTCCAGTGCACAGGTTTTTCCAGCAAAGGATAATGTAATTATTTCAAACAAAAACATTGTGCCCTAATTGTTTAAAGAAAGCAACAACAAAACAGTTGCCATCATACAAGTTCTCTGTGCACACTAGCACTGTCACAGCTGGCTGCCCTTGGGCCTACAGGCAGGCTTTTATGCAGCAGATCTGTCCAAGTGCACCTCACTTTCCCCAGGGACAGGACAGACTCTCATCAATCCATGCTTCTGCAAAACAGGGGGAGCTGATGGCCCTGCAGCAGCTCTTGCATAGGGAATATTCTGAGTACTCCTTGTAACAACAAGTTTTGTAGCCACTCAGAATTGGTCCGTGTGTGTCTTCAGATGAGAGAAGCTTGGGGTAGCACGATACGCAACTTCCCAAATTCTCCCTAATAATATGAGCTCTGTAGCATAGTGCACACTAAGGCTAGGGTTACCAGAAAGCCTGCCATCCAGCTGATGTGCTCATTTGGTACATATCTACCCAGTCACACCAAACAACTGCACAGCCCCTGTACGCCATAGTTCCAAACACACCTGTTTCACCAGCACAGTAGACCAATGCTGTTCTCTGTGATGACAGACAGAGGCAAAAGAGTACATTTTGCTTCCCTGGCATTTTCTGACCTGCTGCTGGGTTTGTGGTGATGGAAAACTCATTGTAAGAGCCTTTTATCACAATTTAGGCATTATTTGGCTACAGAACAGTGCATTCTACTTGTATAACGATCACTATGTTCTACAGTCATTTGGAGCTGTTTTTTTATTTTTCATATATTTTTCAGGTATGTGTTCATACCCTGCATAATAACTTCCTTATGAAATGATATATGTTTTGATACTCTCAGTGAAATGCAGATGACACCAAGCTGGCAGGACTAGTAGATACACCAGAGGGTAGGGCTAGCTTCAGAGACACCTAGGCAAATTGGAGGATTGGACTAAAAGAAATTTCATGACGTTCAATAAGGACAAGCTCAAAGTGGACAATAAGCTGAATATGAACCAAGAGCGTGCCCTTGTTGCAAAGAAAGCTGATGGCATACCAGGCTGCATTAGTAGGAGTGTTGCCAGCAGATCAAGGGAAGTGATTATTCTCCTCTATTTGGCAGTGGTGAGGTCACATCTGGAGTAGTGTGTTCAGTTCTGGGCCCCCCACTACAGAAAGGATGTGGACAAATTGGAGAGTCCTGCAGAAGGCAATGAAAATGGTTAGGAGGCTGGGGGGAATGGAGTTTATTTATAGTCTGGAGATGAGAAGATGGAGAGGAGATTTAATCGCAGCCTTCAACTACCAGAAGGGTAGTTCCAAAAAGGATGGAGACTGTTCTCAGTGGTGGCAGACGACAGAACAAGGATCAATTGTCTCAAGATATAGCAAGGAAAGTTTAAGTTAGATATTAGGAAAAACCTCTCTCACTAGGAGGGTAGTAAAGTGCTGGAACAGGTTATCCAGAGAGCCTGTAGTATCTCCATCCTTGGAGGTTTTTAAGCCCTGGCTAGACCAAGCCTTGGCTGGGAAGGTCCTGCTCTGAGCTGGGGGCTGGTCACTAGATGATCTTCTGAGGTTCCCCCCAACCCTAATGTTCTATGATTCTATGAAATAAAACAGAAAAGTCTCATTCATATGAACTTATTGAACTGCTACCTGCTCACAAATGTTCTGAAACTGCTCCTATTGCAAGACTGGCATTGGCATCTTTGTTAACAACTGGCCCATAACTTGGTGTCCAGTAGTAATGCTTTTTCAGGCCATGTGAGAGTTCTGCAAGGTATATGTGCCCATCTACTTCATATGGATCCACATCTGTACAATTTGGTTTCAAGCGTCCAGTTTTAAGTAAATCTGAAAATGCCTACAATAAACAAATGCAAAGAATTAAACTAGAATATTCTACTAGAGTATCTACCTCAATGCAGATCAGGATAATATCGCCTGTGCTGGTGCTCAAGTTTATCACAGGTATGTATTTAATATCCTGTAGTCACTTGGCATAAGAAAGCTATTTTACAACTATCAGTTTTATAATGAAATGAGATACAGCTAATAACAAACCAGTTATACTAGTAAAACTACAGGCAGCACATGAGTTGTATGACGGGGGATAACTGAAAAAAGTTCAGCAATGAAGAAAGTACTCACCATGCAGGTGGCCTCATCAAATTTGTTTCCCCAAATATAGATGTAGGAAAGCACTGTGTTTGTTTTCAAAGCATCTGAAAGAGCAACAAGTCCTTTTCCACTTATATTGTTGCTCACCACTGCTAACCTAATAAATAGAAATGAAGCATTAAGCAGCATTCACTATGCAGACTCCAAACTACTTAATTTCCACCTCATAACTTCAAGTACAATGATGTGAAACAAATTAGCAACATGAAGATGATTTTTTTAGTCCAACTCAGTAAGTCTTATACAATCCCAGCATTGTTTCTCAAGGCATTTCCTTGACTTGCATGGCAAAGCTACTGACACTATTTCCTCAGTGTAGATGACCTTTTGCCCGGTCTCTCATTTGTCTTCTCTAAAGCACAGCTCTGGTTTCCAGTCAGGTTACAGCTTTGCCCCAGGTCATACGAGGAGTGATTTTTGTAATTTCCAGAGGCACCTAAGCAGACTCCTTAGTCTTTCTTGCCAAGACTAATGGCTTCAGGCAACACTGCTGATTGGTTCTTATATCCAGCCAAAACATGGCTTTTTGAAAGACCCAACATTTACCTGGAGGAGAGATAATAAACTTTGTCCTATAAACAGGCTTCCAGATAACAGAATCTGAACCAACAGAGGCCTGGTGACATAAAGAGGGTCTGTGCAGTCATAAAGATCCTCTTCTGTAGACCCTTCAGCACAACAAGTCCCTAACTCTTGCAGACAAAAAACCAACCTAGACCCAAGCTCTAGTACCAATTTTTATCAAAGAACCACTCTAGCAGCTTACTTCGCTGAGCAGATAACTGAAAAATGCTGGCAAACTGATTTTAGATTCAACCAGGAAAATAACTTGCTCAAATATCAGCAGCAGTCTGAGAGGAACTCCTGTAGCAATGGATAACACCCAGAGAAAAGGGCAAGGAAAATGGGGTGGGGGGGAATTATGTACTTTATTTACCTAGGGTTGACAGTACAGATAGGCACACTAGAGGGTTAGGAGCTTGGACAGGTACATGTGAGGGGCTAGAGGATAAAATTTCATATCTGAAATTTCCACTGTGTACTGTGGCATTTGGAAATTTGTTATGATGGGGGTAAAGGGTTTGAAAGCAAAAACAAAGCCTTTACTCAAGGTTTGTTTGAGATTTTTGTTGGACAGACGGTGAAACTGAGGAAGAGACCTAAGGCTTTTCAGGGCAAGTTTTATCATTGCTGTGAAACTCTTCCCCCTACTTGTTTTCAGCATTCCCTTTCCCAAGGGAAAGGTGATTGTTTGGCTTTTCTCCCATGGGGTAAACCAACAGTTGAGTAGCCCAGTCATCAGACTTTGAACAGCTCCCTGGGGCCAGTTTTACTCTACAGCCCTTTGACAGCTTTGCAGCATCTGGACCCTGAGGAAATATGAATTGTGATGGAAGTAGCTATGCTGGCAAAAGACCCCAGCATTTATGCTGGCATGGTAGATTAGTGTATTCCTCTTGGTGTAAACCTCACCTGAGTGGGGAGCATTCTTTAGACCAGCACTTTGTTGGCCCTGCCTAAGCCCAGGAAGAAAAGTCATGGAATATCAGTATCAGCAGCCTTTACTGCGTACTCTACACCCAATGCTGGATTTTGGAAACTGTTTGACTTCAGTTTTGATTATGAACACCTATATGATTTCCTCAGTCTTGGTATGCACTGCCACATCAGATTTTCTGATATTGCAGGCATGATCACTGGTAACTTATTTAAGGAGTCATAGGTATACTAACACTTGAAGAGTCCCATTGTACAAAGCTAAGGCTTCACTCAGATAGATAGCTCCATCATCTTCTATCCTGTTGGAATGAAGATCTAGGATTTCCAGGGTTTTGTTCCATTTCAGCAGTTCTCCCAAAAATTTCGCACCATCACAAGTTACCTTATTGCTGGAAGAGACATAAAAATGGAATACTGCAGAGAAATATGCTGTGCAACTCTACAGGCTGAAAACACCTTACAAGCTTGTTAAAAATAGAAAGTAGACTTAACATCATTTCCTCAAAAATCCATTTTTAAAATGCCAAATATGTTAGTGGTGTGTTTGTTGTCTAGATGTAAAATATCCTAAAATTAGAATATCCCTTTGCCTTTTGATTAAACCCCCCCCTCTATTTAGCAA